TCTGGAAGCTTGGCATTCATCGGAAAACTCGGTCGACCGACACATTGACACCGATCAAGTCTACACCTCCATGAAACAAATAGGACCTATCAACGCAAAGAAGGTGGTTCGTGTCACACGTGACACGACAGAACAACAGTAGCGCTTAGACTGATCGATCAACGGCCGGCCGTCAGACTGCTCGCGTCCACCTCATCCCATATCGGCACAAGGCGAACAAAGCTTGGCCAATCAGGCAACGTCACATCACTCAATGACCTATATAAGGTAGAGGACACTCGTAAGCGCTCACTCAGTTACAGCATTGAGAATGTCACCTCGATTGGTGACGAAACGTTTGCAATACAATTGCCAAGCTCGGCGAACAACTGAATGATATATATTTATCAAACCAACTACGACTGAAAAAAACTTAATAAGAGTTGTTGAAATATGCTAAACATTTAATGATAAATATGCAGTTCTTTCAGAAATTTTAAGTTCGAAAATTGTTGTTTTTCAAAACACAGTTCGGAGTTTGAACCGTCAATTCGACAATCGTTATTGCTGAAATCATATAACCCCATTTAAACACTTCCGCTACACAACGTGAGCCGAGTGGATTAAGGTAATGGTATGACATTCCCTAGTGGCTATTTGCAAACTGGCTTCGAACAATCTTATTGTCAAATAACGCTAGCCCAATACCGGAAGTTGCTCAACAATTATGGAGACAGTTCAATTTTTCAATTCAGTTTTACGATGGGAATACCGCCATGGTCGTTCTCAGTCCAATGATGACTAAAGCCTCCAACAATCAGAAAATGCGAAAATATTCGACAACTGAGTAAGTATTGGAATCGCAGATTAGCGAACAAGCTCGTTTGCGGTGATTCTTCTACAGACCAATTCATCACAATTTATATAAAAACGGTTGCCAAATAAGAACACTACTCCTGCGAAGAAGCTGGTTTACATATCAATACCTTTCAGGGGCGACACAAGTGTCGACATGGTGACACAAAAGTGGAGTACAGTTGTAGAAAAAGCATTCCCCGCAGCAAAACCGCGCACTGTGTTTATCTCCAGGCCACTTTTATGCTTTAACCTCAAGGATAAATTGCCTGTTTCTGCCGTCTCTTTCTGTGTGTATTCATTTGCCTGCTCCTGTGGTGCAAGGTTTATTGGCCGCACGAGCAGACGTTTATCTGAACGAGTCCGTGAGCACCAACCGGCTTGGTTGAACAGTGGCATAATTAGGACCATTAACAGCTCAATCGTTTCACACCTAGTGGAATCAAACCACTTAGTTAATGTGGCTGAGATGTTTCGATTCATGTACGTAGTTTGCAGCCGCTGATCTAAGAGCAATAGAAGTCACATTCTGGTCACAGCAAAAGCGATCGAAATCCACCTAAAT